CCCAATCGAGTGTAAAGAGAGTACCATCCATGCAAACGTTTGTGGAGATTGATGGTGTACTCTCTGGTCACAACTTCATCTTTCCTGGTGGCCCTCGGCTTCCCCGACATTGCTATAGAGCTCTCCCGATCAGCAGCTTCTACTCTGAAGCTCTATGTCGGCTTCCCTTGTTTCTTACGGCTGCTGGAAAAAACCTAGATATAGGAGTTGTTTTTGGGTTTACACCGGTCCAAAACTAATGGGTTTGTGCTGGGTCGGGCTGGGCTTAAAATAAATAATTTAATTAGTGGGTCAGGCCGGGATGGGCTTTGTCAAAAAATTACAGCCCAAGCTCGACTATATACTATGGCCTAAGAGGCCGGGCTGGGCTGGCCCACATGTCACTAATAGGGTTGAGCCTAAATATGCTTACAAGAAAATTCAGATTTGTTTATATATTGCAAATTATGATGTAATCAACTAATTCAGTGAAACATAATTATTATTCCAAATAATTGAATAGTGATAAAATTAAAGTTCAAAATCTATATATAAAATTTTGGTAGTACACTCTTGAAATAGAGATGTTCGAGTCAAATGCATAAATGGTACCTTAACTATTGATAATGTTGCATTTTGGTACCTTAACTCTTAAATGGATCAAAATGGTACTTTAAGTATACATAGATGTTTCAAATTGAGATTTTATTCAAATTTTTAACAAAAAAGTCCTTCATGACGATCAAAATTTCATGTTTAAAGAAATTTATCGGGACCAGACCGGGAGCCGACCCAGGCAAATGATCGGGTCAAGGGTCAACCCAGGCCCGGAGGGTTAACCAATCAACACAATATTTGTATATATATACATGATTAAATTTGTAAAGTAAAAAAATATTTTCCTTCCTCATTAATAAAATATTATTATCTAGTATACAATTTTTAAGTAAACCATGAATGTATTTGAAATTAGAGAAACAAAAAAATAAACATAAAATTAATCATATATATTAAAAATCTTGCACATGTATGTTTTCCACTTGTATTTGCAGTATTATAGGAGTACTTATCAAGTACTCCCTCCGTCCCTTAAAACTTTGTCGAGTTTGACCGGTACCAGGATTAATAAAGTAAAAATTGTGTGTTTGAGTACTAGTTTTGTGTAGGGGTGGGCATGGGTCGGGACGGTTCGGGATTAGGGTTATCCCGGTCCCGTCCCAATCAATAATAATGGGACGGGATGGTACGGGACCAACCTTTGTCCTAGTCTTGTCTCATGTAAATCGGGACCGGGATGATTCGGAACAGTTCGGGACGTCCCAAACTTACAACAAATAATCATTTGTAACTAATATATATTAGCATTTCTAAAACATCATGCACCAAAATATTAACTTTTTAAAAGTTAATTGATGTTCATCACAAGCTAAAAGCTACTACGTATTAGATTTTAGTTATATTTAGGAAAATTTGAAATTTAAATTTAAAACAAAGCAAAAATGAATTAGTTTATTCAAAATCATGTGTTCTAGTTGTGAGATACTATGTAGATATATAAAGTGAAGTAAAAACCTATGTTGGTAAATATTTATGTTAGGTATTATTTTTAATTTAAAATTTGGGCTTGAAAAACTAAAAACATGTTATCATTTATTTTTTGAGTTGACATTACAAACTAGTCACATGCTACAAAATCTATATAGTTATTACAAACGGGACGGTTCGGGATAACCTTCCAATGTCCCGGTCCCGTCCCGTTTTAAACCGGTACGGGGCCGGTGCGGGACAAAATCAATGAGACCCAAACGGAACGGGACAACACCGGTACGGTTTCGGGATATACCGGAATGGGACAACGGGACCGGGATTCTTGCCCGCCCCTAGTTTTGTGTAGAAGAGAGAGAATCAATTGGAACCACAAATTCTTTATTTACAGGGGAAAGTGGCAAAGTTAATTGGATATCTAAAAAGAAAAGTTGGTAAAATTTTAAGGGACGGAGGGAGTATTGCGTAGTATATAATACTCCCTCCGTCCCATTTTACATGTCTTACTTTCCTTTTGAGGTTGTCTCAAAATAAGTGCTCCTTTCCCTTTTGGGAAAGAAATATGTTGTTCACAACATTTCACTTTATTATACTCAAATTTCAACCACAACTTTTATTTTTTCAACCACTTTATTAAAAGTTGTGCCAAAACAAAAGGAGACACATAAAATGGGACGGAGGTAGTATGTATTATTATATTACGTATAATTTAGTTGGACATCTAATAATATGTATTATTAGTTTTCATATAATGATAATAAGCCAAGGATAGGTATTCTGAAGAAGCCATAGATTCGAATGGGTAAGAGTGACAGATTTGGTAGTACTAGAGTCTTCCATAATTTTATGGGGGGCAAGTGTTTGTAATAGTAATATATTTAATAAAAAAATAAAATACATGGAGGGGCAATGGTCCCCCTTACCCATTACGTAGTTACGCCCCTCATAGGATGTAATCCTAATTATAGAAAGTCCACCGAAAAGATGTTCTTAGAATTCAAAGGTTCGAAAAAGGTAATTCAATCTCAACATACTTGCAAGTTGCAACAATAGAGCAATACTAATATTCTACGATGATCAATTAATCAAAATTGAAGGAAGAAGTCATAGTTTTCATACATGATAAAAAAATAGGCACGATAAGTAAGTTTAGGGTGCGTCGAGAGAGACTGGAATATCGAATGATCTTAAATTTACCATTGTTTTCTGAAATGCCCAAATGGGCTCTTCATATTATGTAGTTACCTTGAGTGGGCTCGGCCACAATGTTTCATATAGACTATTTGGACCTTCAGGTGGACTTCCCGACACATACGGGTTTGCATAAATGGATATTTTGGATCTTCCACTCTAGTAGTAACTAAATTGAGGTCATCTCCAATCAGAGGATAGATTGTGTTATTGTGATGAGGTGGAATAGGAGGGCGAAAAGATAGAATGAATATTTTAATTCAATACTCACTTCTTCCATTGGACTTTGCCAACTTTCCATGTTTAAATGTTCGAAAAAACTTTGTCACTTTCATATTAAAACAACTAATTTGTGTTTCTTCTTATTTCTCTCTCCCCTGCACAAATCTCAACCATACAGCATTTACTTTTCTTATTATTCACCTACTTTGAACTTGACAAAATCCACCGGGATGGAGGTAATATAAAAAACGTAATGTGTAGAGAAAAATCAAAAAGATGAGAGAGAGGGGTAAACATGTAAAGGCATGTAAGACCACACCCTCTGATTGGAGTTGCTCCAATCCCACGATAGCCTCAAGCAAAGCAAAGAAAACCAGAGTGAGAAAGAAAGAAGAGAGGGGTTTTTACTCACAAGTACACAATTACTAATGACAACCTTAAAGTTAATGTTTAATAAATAATTCGAGCTTGAACAAGGCTCCCCCCTTCACTATAAATTTGCTAGAGATATGCTGCTATCAAGATATTATGCGAGTTCATTCGAAGGGGACGAAGGTGTATCTCAATAAAGATAGTGAATTACCAATTGGAGTTGTATTGTCCTCCTGAATTGTTAACCATAATCATCAAGACTATAAAATCAATAAAATGAAATCTCAAAAGATCGAGACCAATCAATCCTCGAATGCGAAGCTAATGATTTGGCCAATCTCTCTCTCTTCTATGCCATTTCGTTGTAAACAATCTCCAAACAAAAAAATGGTCGAGGCCGACTCAAGCGAGTGAGGGAAAAGCCGTTTGAAGGATTACAATTGAAGGGATAAATTAGATATTCGAAATTGTTTTTTTATTAAAATTAATTTAAGTGAGTGTGTAAAGAAATGTGGTGGTTGTGAATAAAAATCCCGAAAGAAGAGATCTAGAGAAGAGATGGGGTTTGGTTCGATTACTTGATAGGTAATGATCACCCGTTGGTCCATTTAGGTCAAATAAGAGAAATAATTTTTGATGGAAAATTATTATTATCGCGGATAAATGACAGACCAACCTACTAGTTAGTTACTGCACCCCAAATTCTCGGCTTTGAAATGATGCATATGCATTATGCACATTTGCTCAGGGGCGGTTGAGGTCTAGGACAATGAGCGGTCTCAACCTCACTCTCATGTTTAACTTGTAAAGCACTACCTCGGTCTCCTTAAGATTGGGACAACAAAAAGAGTGATTCAGTTATTAAGAATAAGTGAGATTGAGTGGTTATATTGAATTGATAAAGTGTAAACAAAATACGAGTAAGAGTGAATTAAGATTGAGTGGAGTATGATTTATTAAGACAAACTTAGTGAAATGAACGAAAAAATAGTGTGAAACAAATACGGAGTATATAATTAGGGAAGGAGATATTATTTTCGGTGGCGAAGTGTCGCTCGCGAGATTTATATTCCCCGCCATCATCGGTCGGGTGTTCTTGGGTGTTAGTAAGAGATGTGTATTGGCTTCTCTATCGATCATGAATCAAGATTTCTTCTCTATAATATAGAGTCGATCGCCCCCTCCTGAACCGCCGCCGATCAAGGAAGATGGGAGTGAATGAATTGATTTCTTTTCGGTGACTGCTGAAATCGGAACAATTTCTGCATTTGGCTTCTTACCAGTGGCTGGAAAAACCGGCAATGTTAAGAAATCCTATTCGGTGGCTGGTCAAATCGGACCTATTTCGAGTAGCACGAGCAGTCAAATTGCGGGACGAGTCTACATAGTTGCAGAGTTAGCGAACATAATAGCTTTTATATGATTTTTTTGTTCTTTGTCTCGCCCTAATGTAGCATTGAGCGTTGTGATTGCAATGCTTCGGCTTTTGATTGTTATGTTTCTGGTTACTCTTATCAATAATAATTAAGTTATTGATTTTCAAAAAAGGGGGGTCCATTCGGGGACATCCGATAAAATTGGAACGATACAGAAAAAGGGGGAGGAGTACTTCATATATAGACATATAATAAAGTCAGGCCCATCCTAAAAAAAGCGACCTGTCATCCGAGAACAGGCGGGCTCGTCCGGAACTCTAGTCTCCAAAGCCCGAAACTAAAAAAATGGCCCAAATGCCAAACCAACCAGACATTCACCCGCCCATTCACACGCCCTAAGCAACGACCGAACTGGCAGTTCGTTCGTCTTCGCTACTCGAAGTCACAACTCAGTCGTATCGTTCTCTTCGACAGTAGCTCACGGCTCACGCGGGTCGGCCGTCGGTGCACGAAGCCTCTATTTTCTAGCCGCTAGGGCTCTGCGCCTCTGTAGTTCTGCTTTTCGCCTCTTCAGATTTGAGGTAGGTATATTCTCAAAGAAGATGGACAACAAAAAGTATAGTGATTTTGACATTGTTAGTTTTTATTAGCATAAAAAACATTGGGTGTTGATTTTTTTCTTATAATTTTCAAGTGATTCTCTTATAAAATGACTTATGTTATCAACTTATTAAAATGATAATGTTTTAAAATGTGTACATCATACTTATACTTTTAGCATAATTATCATCTGTATATAAGGGGGAAAATAAATTTTGGTAATTAACTTCCTAGTTAATCTCTAATAACTTATCAAAATGTATTAAACTCATCTTTGCTGCATTGATTTGGAAAACAACAACATATTACTTCATCATCCATATGCTAATGTCCTGAAATAATATTAATCAATAATAAATGTATTTATAGTTGTATATTTGTGTTTTTTTTTGTATTTGAATTTGATGAAAACTATTATTCATGCAGTATTTGGTTTTATCTTTGACTTTTTGTTGCAATACAAGTTATTTTATACTTAATAAATTTTGGCTCCGATTGGATGCTATTGCTAGATCCGTCCCTGGTTATGCTCCACTCTCCCCTATGCCTAGGACGTTATCTGGGCGAAGGGTCATAGTGACTCACTGTTTCCATTTGGCAGTTTCATCTGCAAATTACATTGTTATCTTTTCAAACATGCCTGTTTTGATTTTTCAAAAAGAATTGTTTTAGAGTTGATCATATTCATATATTACTGGAATTTTGATATCATATATGAGGAGCATTTTCTGAAATTATGTATTCTTTTTTTTTGCAGAACAATACTTAGTATTGCAACTATTTCTGTATAGCTCTGGTTGAAGCGATTGCACAAGAAATAAAATGGTAGCAGCCTTTATTCTTTTTCTCCAGCGTAGATGCATTTATGAATGTACAGAAATTCTAATCATCAAAATTTGAAATTGTTGGAGTTATGTTTGAAGAACAGCTAAAAGATGTGATTTTAAGACAATATTTTGGTGCAAGTTATTTTAGCTATTCCCTAATGGGAAAAAGGTCAAAATAGCTTTTACAATGTATGAGTATAGCTCCAGCAAGTTATATAACTTACCCTTATTATGACTATTATTATTATTATTATTATTATTATTATTATTATTATTATTTTAGTGTATCACTTTTTCCTCATTCGGAAACGGTCTATCAGTGCTTTAGTACAGGGGTAAGACTGCGTACATTCGACCCCCCTTACCCCACCGTAGGTGGGAGCCTTTGCGGCACTTGGGTAAATGAAAATGAAAATGAGTGTATCACTTTTTCCTGTAATTATTTTATACGCAGTATATATCTAACTCATTTTAGTGTACCTTAAAAAACTTATTTTAGTCCATGATTTAGCTTGCAGTGCATGAACTATGAGTAATCGGTATTAATTTCTAAACATCTTAGTATGATTAATATTTGTAAGCTATATTCAATATCTCATTAAAACTATATACGATAGTATATATTGTAGGATCTTATGATCTGAACTACGATCCTACAATTTACGATCTCTAAACCCCCTTCCGATCATACATAGGAGTACTGCTTATTCTATCTTAAAAAATTATCTAAATCATTAAATATAGAAAATAAAAACCAGAAAACTGAATCTGAACTGCCTGTTCTAGAACCGGTACTATGTGGGGTCCTTGAACCGCTGGTTTGATTCAGGTTCCCAACCAAGGACAGGTCTACCTCTGCCTAAAATGAGCCATGCTTGACTAGTGCTCAGTTTTTTTTTTGTGTGTGAAGGCATAACTGTCAAGTACTCAATTTTTTTTTTTATTATTTGTTACTATGCCTATGTTTATCATAGAAAATTTTTGTTATGCAAATATTGAAACCCTTCATTAATCAACTTGGATCCCTTTTTGCGCAAAAAAATTGTTTAAAGAAACCCTTTTTCTTGGGGATGGAGGGAGTAAGTTATAATTTCTTTTATGGTTATAAAGATGTTCTTAGATTAGCTGTTCAAAAATGAGTTAGTTGTTGTATTCTCTCAACTCCTGCTGCATTTCCCAAGGGGCCAAGTGTTTTCTACCCAGTGAAGAAAGAGCAACATCAAATTTTTCTAAAAGATTTTAATCGTAATAGCATGATGATATTCTTTCATAGCTCTGTTATAAAGGGCTGCCCGGTGCATGAAGGCATCCCCGGAAGGCGAGGATCCGGGGAAGTGTCCTGCCACAAGTGTGTAAATGGGGCAAACCTTCTGTCAAATTTCGACAAGAGGCTGCTCATAAGCTTGTACCCGTGACCTCGGTCACACAGCAACACCTTAACCGGTGCACCAAGGCTCCCCTTTAGAAGCTCTGTATACACATGTTAAATGCTTTAGTATTGTCCATGACCTGCAAGTTGGGATCAGAAACATTATTATAGAAATAGTTACAGAGGAGATTCATTTGAATATATTTTGTTGCATTACATAAAGTCTTGTTGTTTGGGGTTTTGTTTCAGTCAGGTAGAAAAGAAACAGTTTTAGATTTGGCAAAGTTTGTTGACAAGGGCGTGCAAGTTAAGCTTACTGGTGGCAGACAAGGTCAGTTGTCACTTCAACAAAGTTATATTGCGTGTCTTACAATTTAACGCTGTGTTTGAGAATTATTGCCCTGATATTTTGTTTTCCTTATATTCACAGTCGTCGGAACACTAAAAGGCTATGACCAATTGCTGAATCTTGTCTTGGATGAAGCCATCGAGTATCTTCGAGGTAGGTAACACACTTTTGACTAGAAAGGGCCCACTACAAGTCTACAACTTGTTTAAATTTACTTCATTCCGTCTTTTTGATCCATAATATATCTTTTTATCTTTTATTATTGTTTTCGTGACGAGTAATTGAATTGATTTTACATTGCTAGTTGTGTTTCATGTTTTTGCAAAATCAAGGGCATTTCACCCTGTTAGAAAAGTGGCAATGTCTTTTACTAAATTAATGTAGAAGTGGGGAATTCCTTTTCTAATTAGAATCATGAGATTCACGTGGGAGCATGTTTTGGGTGATGGAAAAAAACTTGTTTAGTATAAAAGTGTAATATTGGTGATGTAAAATGGCAAAATGTATATATAGATCTGGCCTTGCCGGGTCTTCCTCACAATAGTACTGTCTAGACCATATACAAGAGAATTCACATCAAGCAGGATCAGGGAGGGAATATTGAGTATGTGCTTGATACTAGTTCTATTTTCCAAGGATTATTACCGTAGTAGAATCCACACATTATTGGAATTGTGGACTATATTTCTCAATCACATTTCACATAACATTTCTTCCTTGACTTTAATTCAGAGCACAGCCTTGACCCATGACTCTAGGTTTTTGACTCCTGAGAAGCCAAATCTCATATAAATTTTTGCCTTCTTCATGACTAGATTGCCTGATCTATCTCCAGTAGATATTCTGTGTTTGAAAAAGTAAAAGAAATATAGTTACAAACAAGTAAAATATGAAAATTAGTTAGAGAAACAAATACTGAGTTTGTTTAAAATATGTGTGGGATTTCATGATATTTAGGTATCATACCTTGACAAATTTAAAAAGTTGTACCTTGACAAAATCATGTCATTTTTTTGGACGGATGGAGTAATTGTTTATTTGGAGTTTAAGGTATCCGTGTAACTGAATAAAAGCAACCTTTGTTTCAGATTCTGATGATCCTCTCAAGACAACAGATCTAACACGGCGCCTTGGACTAATTGTATGTCTGTCATCTCTATCTTTCTATTTCATTTTGTTCGTTTGTTAGAAGAGAATACTGCTTCTTCTTCTCATTATTGCATCACCAGTTTAATACTCCATGTTAGCATATGATCTTGATCTATATGTGAGAGGTTACTCTGCTAATTTGCAACTGTGCTTTCACATAACTCTCTCATCACAATATGGTAGGTTTGCAGGGGGACTGCAGTTATGCTTGTGGCACCAACAGATGGAACCGATGAGATCGCCAATCCTTTCCTCCAGCCAGATGGCGCTTAGATCTGTCACTCATCATCAACGATCCATCTATTATTTACCTCTTTTTGTGTAAAACAGCTTATGCTTTGTTTGTTTTCCCTGTATCTAAGGGTTCAAGATAGAATATGAGGATTTGCCATGGGAGAAACTATATATAAAGTGTTGTCTTTAGCCTGTTTTTATGTTTATCAATGGAGAAATTTGACTTTGCATATCACTTTTTTATTGATATTGAACTTTGCATCCCACAGTTCCCGCTTCAAAAAACTTTGTTTATCGATGGGAAAATTTGACTTTGTTTCCCGAAAGATGCATACCGTTCACAAGCCCCGGAAACCTTGAGAATGCCATCCTAACAGACACACAACCTTCTCCAAACTAAATCCAAAGCTGTGGCATCCCATAAAATCTGATCGGCAAAGTTTCCGCATAAAGAAACCCTATGTGAGCTATTGTCATTTTGTATTAATATCAATATATTTTGACATTACTATTTATTAATATGACAATATTTTCTAAATGTTAAAATAATAAATCCTTTTTAGAATTCGAAGTTTTTTTAATATCAACAATCTTGTTTGAGTCAATTTTCTGCTGGAAATTCTCTAAAATTTAAATACTCTAGTACTCTGCGGCAGAGTACTCTGTCTCTGCCTAACCTTGGTAATAGCACGTTTGTGAAAGGAAAAATTTCATTTTCATTTGGGTTTGAATGAAATTTATTAGAGAAATTACTAGGAGTAGGGATGGACTGGGCCGGGCCGAACCGGCCCGGAACCGGACCGGCCCGCTACTGTGCGGGCCCGGACCGGACCGGGCCCGGTTGGCCGGTTCCGGGCTTTTAGCCCGTTTTGGCGGGTCGGGCGGGCCGGTTCCGGGCCCTGTTTTTGTTGAACCGGCCCGGGCGGTTCGGGCCGGGCCCGGTTCATTTTTTTTTTTTTTTTTTGGTTTTTTCAATTTTTTTTCTTTTCCTAGGGTAGGGCTGGGTGTTTTAGGGAGGTTTGGGGCGTGGGGGTGAGGGGGGGGGGGGTAGGGAGATAACAAGAAAGTCAAAAAAAAAAAAAAAAAAAAAAAAACATTGAACCGGGCCCGGCCCGGCCCGGCCCGGTTAGGCCCGGACCCGGTATCAACCCGGGCCGGTTCCGGGCCCATGTAACCCGAAAAAAAGCCCGCCCGGGCCCGGCCCGGAACCGGAACCGGCCCGGCCCGGGTCCATCCCTAACTAGGAGTATGTTCAAAACATGTGGTGATTTCTACAATATGATTAGATAACTTTTTTATTTCTAAACTAATGGTGTTCATATGTATGATATGTGTTCTAATCATACTTTCTCTCTGTTGAATTTAATTATAACTCACAGTGTCACATTTAGATACATTTCATAATTTGTTATTATTATTTCATTGTGTTATACCCATATGACTTTGAATTAAATCCCTTGTCATGCATGTTGCAGATTTTGTATTTATTAACCTACTACTCACTAGAAGTCAATACATTTCCAAAATTATTATTATTATTTCATTCTGTTTTATAAAAATATGACTTTAAATTAAATCCCTTGTCAAATTGGAGATTTTTATCGTTATTTGAATTTATAAGAACTTCATATTTCAGCTGAAATATCTTGAAATCCTGTAACAGTAAAATATTAAGGAAAATTTAGGTCAAATTAGTACGGTTTCGAAAATGCAAGTTTTTGAATATAGCATATTTTAAATCATTATAAATATTATTCTAACACATCATTGTGTTTTCAAGTGTAAAAAAATGGACTCTTTGTTCTTTACTAGGGAATGGGAAAACTGTCAAATAGGTCCTCGAACTTTCATAAAAAAGTCAATTAAGTCCTTTTATAGGAGGTTCTGTCCAGCCGTCGCGATTTGGCGCAGTTCCCGGTGGAATGTTTTGATGAAATTTTTTGAGTATCTTATTCACCAAGTCTAGTTTACTCATACCAAATTTCAGCTAAAAATTCAATCGGAAACACATTCAAATTAATTCTCGAAGATAACTGCGCAATTTTCGTTCTCGAATTAATTTGAATGCGCTTCCGATTAAATTTTTAGCTGAAATTTGGTATGAGTAAACTAGACTTGATAAATAAGATGCTCAAAAAAATTCATCAAAAAATTCCACCGGGAACTGCCCCAAATCGCGATGACCGGACAGAGTCTCTTACAGTAGGACTTAATTGATTTTTTTATGAAAGTTCGAGGACCTATTTGACAGTTTTTTCTCTTTACTATTTTGTAAATCTGTATTTAAACGTTTTTCTAGATCAAGGAAGTATTTAATAGGACTAATTTGAGTTTCAGATTCGAACAAATAAAATTAGATGTATGTGAAAGTCTGGACTAAACTGGTTTATTTAAATGTGATCTAATATGTTCTGGTTTAAGTTTGAAAGCAGATAAAAATATTCTTGGAGACAAAATACGACAAAACTATTTAACAAGACAATTCAAGTATGAGGTTACCAATGATAACTGTCATGTTATAGACTTATAGGTGCATTATATTTAATATTTCATAATCAATTCGTCATTTAAGAACACTACTTATTTTCTTAAATATAAGGAAATTGATTAGACGGCACCATGTGTTTGGGCTTTTGATCGTGAGTTCCGTTGCTTCTTCTTCTCTGTCTCGGATCAAACATTCATTTTGCTGGCCATTAATGGAGAGCTTAAATCAGGCTTATGAAAAGATGTCAATCGAGGAGATTGATGGCGAGGGATAAAAAACGGCAAGGCGGCGGTGCTCTCGGAACAACGGCGCCTAAAATACTAACACGTCTCGTAAATGAGGTGATTCCTTTGGTAGTGGCTAGTCTTCCCGTAAACTTCTTCTCTCTTCTCGGTAGCTGGTAAAATCGGAATGCCATCATTGGAGGTGGATAGACAAACCTCTTATCCCTTCCCAATAGCTGGTAAAACCGGAATGCTTAAATTATTTTGTTGCTTTTATTTAAATTATTTTTCTTTAGTTACATCTCATTTTAGTAGCTATTTCAGCAGTGCTGTTAGATTAGTCTATACATCATTGCGGGGTTAGAGAATACGATCGGTCCTTGGGGACTAATCGATTCTATGTCTCATCAAATGTAGTTTTGAGCAATTGTTTTGTTTTATTTCTTGTTATTTTCATTAGTGTTAAATAAGTTATTTTTTTCAAAAAAAAAACGGGGAAGGAAATGATAGTCATGAACCATTAGGCCATTTACGTGATGTTCAACTTTTTTTATATGGAAAATGATTTGAAACCGTTGACCATACATTCATTGTTGCAACTTTCAATTTGTCCAATCCTCAAGAAAGATGGGGTTTTGCTTAATGCTGTCTAACCAGAACCAAATTTAATAAATAGAGTGCGACGTTTTCGCCGATCCAAGCCCACATACTTTGACAAATACGATTTGTCCTTGCTGTTTTCCCGCTCATTTCTTGGACAGCCCGGCCCACGGAGTACGTACGTACGCAGTAATGCCCGCCGACACCAAAAACGTGTCAAGCGTAACACGGAGTAATACTTTTTTTAATTATCCTCATATAATCTTGTTTCGTGTTCAGATAGATAGCATTATTAATTTATTACGCTTGTGTAGTCTGTCCTATGATACTAATTATACGGAGTATAATACGGAGTATTGTTCTTTGTCTTTCGGGAAATAGATATGTTGCTCATAAGATTACATTTTTAATTCGCATCTTAATAATATTCTCCTAATGAACTTGTGAAGTCCAAGTAGATAAGTAATTTAAGAAGGAAAGAGTGAAAGTTTTTTGTATTAACAGTTAACCAGATCCATATGTTACGGGAGTATATATTAATTCAAGCATTGTTACATTTAATTTCACCTTAGCTTTTAGTTGCAACGCTTTAATTTTGGCATATATCCATGCACAATTTTGATCATTAATGTATTTAATTGTTTATCAATAAAAAAATTAAAGTTATATTATTTTGAAAGTTTAACATGAGAAGAATTATATTTTATGAGTAGTATTTTTCCAAAAATTAATTTTTTTTATGTATTATAGAGCATTAAATAAAATGTAATCAAATAAAGTATCTGAATAGTGCAAATTTAATACTAAGTATGTTGAAATTTGAATTGAAAAAATATAGTAACCATGGCATTTTTTTGGGAAGATATATCTTTTAATTTAGTCCTATTCTTGCAATGTGGTTATTGTATACTCCTATTTAGGGGATAATCCCTTTTACTTTTAATTAGTTTTTACGGTGTATGTTGTGGTAATGGCTGGTTAATCATTAATTTTCATAATTTGTAATTTATAAGTCGTTTTAAGGATATGTCGCAATTGCATGAATGATAAGCAAGTGCATGGCGCGGAGCAAGAAATATGCTGGCATATTTTTTCAATTTCAATTTGAAAAAAATCTGGGAGTTAATATTTGATTTGAAATATAATGATGGTACCATGGATTCTAACCCCGCCCATAAACGGGATCAGCCTGATTAACAGGATTAGCCCATAAACGGGATCAACTCATAACAGGATCAGCCTGATTAACAAGATTAGCCCATAAACGAGATCAAGCCCTGGTCGGGATTAACATTAAATAAGCCGTTGGGCCCAATTAGGAATCAGGCCCACGATAGGAACCCACAGCCAGGCCGGGCTGGACAGCAGACCTCGAGCCTGGGCGGAATTCTAGTGATGCTGAGATATTCTTAGGGTTTACGTGGTAGGCTATCATTTAAGCATAGCTATTTGGCAGCAGACAGGACTCATCGGGAAGACATGGACTTGAAGGAAATGATTGTTATACAACGTCCAAGACGTTACAGGAGTTCTATTCGATTAGAATGTAATTAAATACGGAGTACTCCGTAGTATTTATTGTATCAATTTCCTCCTAGAATACTAGCACTCTAAAGTTTATACTATCTATACACTTCCTGTAAATACCCTACCAAGGGATCGGCCATTCATCCTCCCGAACAATAATACCGTCTTACGTTGCCATATTTTTCAATTTTTTTCGTAGATTTAGCTCTCGTAGTTGGATTAAACTCCATCATATAGATTTAGCCAGCACAACTTCTACCCTTTCAAAACTACTCTCAAATTCAAATCATACGATTTTATAGATCAACGCAATTTCTTTTACTGCTATGAATCTATGATTTCGATTTTCGAGTATCAATTGTTCATCAAAACTTAATTCTGTTGTTTGGGTTTCAAAACCTTCTTGGTACAGTGTAAATATTGTAAACAAGGAATGAGTTTTATGATTCAATTTGAGGTACACATTTTCATACACACACCTACACACTCATGTTTGTGAAGAATATTTTTTTGTCTGTATACAGACATAACATATTTGAAAATACGTTATGTCTGTATACAGACAAAAAATACTCTTCACAAACATGAGTGTGTAGGTGTGTGTATGAAAAATGTGTACCAATAGATTTTTTGTTTATGATTACCCAATCAATCATCATGTAGGTTAAGAATGTTTTCTTTTGGACGGTTTCCAGTCTCATATCAGACCCGACTTAAACATATTAGACCAGACCAGACTCAACTTGTACAGTTATAAAACATAGAGAACAAACATTTACTAGACCAGACCAGATCAGACCTAAACATATTAGACCAGACAAGATTAGACCAAACTAGATCAGCAAATTACAATCCAAAAGAAAATATTAATAGAATAAGATGAAGGTGTTATCATTAAATTTTAATCCACACTATTCAATCTACAGTTCTACACGCCATAAAAACTTAACCCGTATTCATTTTTATAGCCTCAACGTACGGTATTTTTCTCAACGCCCTTTTTTCATGCTAAGCCTTTTACATTTGTAATTTCTTGACGATCGATTACTCCAGATTGCATGTATTAGTATTAAATGCTTCATATTTATTTCGTCAAAAATGCATAGTAAGCCGACAACAAAAAATTCGACAACTTTTTCCAAAAGTTTTTCTGATGATTAGATAAACATTATCGGACATTCGGGTGCAGATAGTTGCTTCTAATGTTTTTTTTGGCAAACTGATTTTTTCACTAGTTATAATTTTCGTGAATTTTTGTATCGGCTTTGCTCAATTGTATTTTCAACATCTTTTGAAAATTTTAGCTGTGATGGTCGCGGGCGGGTGAGCAGAAACTTGAACACCAATCCTTTAAAGTGTAGCCCCATTATTTAACATTTAATTTTTCTCTTTCCTTATTGTCCCATTCAATTTTGTCTAATTAAGAAATTAGAAAAGTTAAAATTGTGTGACTGAAATTTGTGCAGAATAAAAAGAAATGCACAAAACCACAAATTCAATGTTTTTTTTTTTAAAAGTGACAAACTTTTTGATACAAACGAAAAACAAAGTTGGCAAAGTTGAATGCGAATAGAAGGAGTATGTCATATTGATGTCATTCTTTCATAATTATTTGATTATCAAAAATTGGTTAAAATTAAAGTTGCCAGTTGATAATGATAATAAAGTGCCCAATTGGCGCACATTCACGTATATTATCTTTGGCAAAGTTGAATGCGAATAGAAGGAGTATGTCATTGATGTCATTCTTTCATAATTATTTGATTATCAAAAATTGGTTAAAATTAAAGTTGCCAGTTGATAATGATAATAAAGTGCCCAATTGGCGCACATTCACGTATATTATCTTTTAAATAATGATTGTCTTGTTTAACTACATCAATATTGTTAGAGTTTGGAGTGAAAGAATCAAAATGTGAACTAAGTTTTTAAGATATGATGATAGTGCTTAATTACAGTCCACGAAATTGTGTCCATGAAGGGAACTGGGAACATATATGAAACTCAAAGTACTTAAGTTTCCACAAATCCACGGACTGCCGGAGTAGATATTATTAAGATGTAAGAAAATACTTGAAAGTGAATTTGGGTTATGATATTAATTAGAAGTTCCGGTTTGCCATTAAGGAGCTACTTAGTATGAGGATTATGAAGTTTTAAATTGTGGATACAGGTATTAAGCTGTAATTTCGAAGAAAATATTTATTTTTTACAGAAGAAAAGTTTGTTTAGTAATTGTCATATAATAATGTGGTAAAAATGTATATACATTTAGTGCTTAATTAGAAACTTCACAAATGCTCGTTAAACTAAAAGACTCTTCCAAAGTCCCATCCATGAATATAATTATAATGCTAGTACTACTCGATCGTATGAAACAAAGAATTTCATTTCCAAATTAAAAGTAGCTTTTAAACAAACGTATTCTCTAAAATCAATAAAGATACCAAATTGAGGTTAATTAATTGATTCCGTTGGCTTGTACCGAATGTAGGTCAGCACGGGTTGGCTAATTTAATTTGATGGCTCAAATAAGCCATTTGAACCGGTTAATATGACTGAGAGTTGGAAATTGGAATGGTGATTTAGAGGCAGATCCAAAAGCTACGATTCAACTAAGTTAAAACCTAATTATATATATTAGGTTTAAAACATTAGTGATGGAGTTGATTAAAATGTAAAGTGAACAAAAACCAACATTGAAAAAATGTAAAACTTTAAATTGTTCTGGTCTTCGGTCCACCACAAGCGTAACAGAAATTTCGACTTCGTATTCAAATTCTGACAACTGTGATGAAAATATACTACTACATATGTAAAAATGTGTAGAACGAGCCTCTGCAAGTATTGGAGCCTCACTCGCTATCTGATCCGTGCGCCCGGTGATGGCATGGGAGCTCTCGGGGACGGGACATCATCCTTTTAACATAAATCTGCCGAGATGTTAGTATAGTGTATAAACCACCGGCTGGCTATATGTGATCAAATGTGAAAGAGATGAGAATAGGTAGTAGTGTAGTACTCCGTATTCTTCTTTCAATATATTTGGCTAAACTTTGAAATGGTCATACACTTGAATTTGCGGCAGTCCTGCAAACATTTACTCCCCAGCTGATTAAAACAGTTGATTTTCTTGTCCACTCCACGTTTGTGGAGTGTTAGGTTAGACTTTAATTTGCTTGCATTAGTGATCAGATGTTCAAACTCAATGCCATGCAATTATGTAGCACTGTTACGTAATCTTCCTAGCTACATCCTTAATTACACTACGGAGATCGAGTTAGCCATAGTTTACTTTTCATCAAATATGTTAAATTCTGATCAAAATTAAAGAACATCTTCGAATCATGTACTGTCATATTACAAATATAATAATACAAATATAAGAATATTACTACGTATCATTTAAATTTAATACCATTGAAATTTAATGCAGTCAAATATGACATAATTTTGGTGACGGAGAGATTCAATGATATACATATCAAATCAAAATATATAACGGTCAAACATTATACGTAATACGTAGTATGGTTTGTTCATTTCTACAATATATATAACTCATTTAATTCAAATAAAATAAATTAAAGTTAAAACATCTTCATGTCTTTTAATTTTTTGTAAAAGCTCAGCGAAATTTCTTGAACATGCTTTGGCTAACTTTCTATTCTGTGTTAGCATTAGATATGAGCAAGCACCCAATATTTACTAGCTCATATGTAAAATGTTCATTCAAGTAAATTTTACTTAGATAATTAGGTGACTTATTTATAAAAAAAAGCTAGATCTTCTTTTAGATCAAACTTCTTTTATAAGTGAATAATTAAATGCACCTTGTTCTCTCAACAAAAATGTCTTCATATTTGAGAAAATTTGTTGTGTACTACGGAGTAGTTCTTTTTATGAAAATTCTCAATTTATAATTTAATTGATCATATTGACTTTTCTTACTCAATGATAGTCTAGTTTGACAAATGGTAATGTTTAATGTGATATTATGAAAAATATAAAAAAAAATTATACAGATGGAGTAGCAGAAAGTCCCTAGACACCGAGAAAGAGAGCAGAAAATGTACTAAATGTAGATGAAGTAAGAAATTTTATACAACTCCTTTTACATTAAATGTCTTAACTATCCTTCACTACCCACTCACTTTTTACATTTGAGTAGATAAAATTAATTCTCTCCCAAAAGTAAAAGGGCATCAAGACATTTGTTCTTCTATTAATTGAGCACCTAAGATATCGTGTCAAACGTTAAGTTCTGTCTACGATTAATTTTTAATGGATGATAAGTCAAAGAAGCTAAGTTGACATCTGCACAGTGTTATATATGCATAATCATCAGCACACACAGTATATATACTACACCCTCATCACCCATTGTGAATCAGTTCATCTAACTCACCAAATCAAAACCATGACATCCATAATGAAACTTCACACTCCCCTTCTCTCACTTTTCATACTACTATTGTCATCTCCCACAGCCTTCTCAGACTCATCTTCTTTGCCCAACAAGTTTTACCAGTGCATTTGCACTACCACTGGTTCCTCTGTTTTTTCCTCCCCAGCTTTCTTCACCCCAAACACCGCCACTTTCGCGACGGCCCTCCAATCCACCGCCCAAAATCTCCGGTGCCTGGTTCCCTCTGTCTCCAAGCCGCAGCTCATCTTCACCCCTCTTTCTGAGGCCCAAGTTCAGGCCGCCGTTCTATGCACCAAACAGCTCGGCCTTCAGATCAGAGTCCGCAGCGGCGGCCACGATTACGAAGGGCTGTCCTACATTTCCCGGCAGGGAACGCCCTTCGTGATCGTGGATATGTCGAAGCTGCGGGCGGTGAGCGTCAATGTGGCGGATAATACCGCTTGGGTTCAGGCCGGGGCGACGGTCGGAGAGCTTTACTACAGAATCGCCGAGAAAAGCAACGTTCTTGGTTTTCCGGCGGGGCTCTGCTCCAGCTTGGGAATCGGCGGCCACATCACCGGCGGCGCGTACGGTTCAATGATGAGAAAGTACGGTCTCGGGGCGGATAACGTTGTCGATGCGAGAGTTGTGGACGCCAACGGGAGGATTCTGGACAGGGAAGCCATGGGAGAGGATATGTTCTGGGCCATCCGGGGCGGCGGCGGCGGCAGCTTCGCCGTCTTACTCTCGTGGAAGTTGAGATTAGTTCCGGTCCCGCCCACCGTGACCGTCTTCACAGTTCCAAAGACTCTGGAACAGGGGGCGACCACGATTCTCGAGAAATGGCAAAACGTCGCCGATAAGCTCGACGAGAATCTCTTCATCCGGGTGATCATCACGCCGGCGAAAGGCGGCGCGTTATACCGGACGATCCAAACCGCCTACAACGCGATGTACCTCGGCACCGCCGACCGGCTGTTGACCGTCATGAAACAGAGCTTCCCGGAGCTCGGACTAACCAAACAGGACTGCATCGAAACGAGCTGGATCAATTCCATCCTCTACATCGCCGGCTACCCCACAAACACCCCGCCGGAGATTCTCCTGCAGGGGAAACCTCTGTTCAAGAACTCCTTCAAGGCGAAATCCGACTTCGTCAGAACACCCATTCCGGAAACAAGGCTGAAAGGGCTGTGGAAGCTCCTCCTCAAGGAAGAATCACCGCTGATGATTCTCAACCCGTACGGCGGAAAGATGGCGGAGATTCCGGAATCTGCGATCCCATTCCCGCACAGGCACGGCGTCATTTACAAAATCCAGTACGTCACCAGCTGGAGCGAGGCGGACGATTTGACGGCGGCGAGGCATATCGACTGGATCAGAAAGCTTTATGCTTACATGGAGCCTTACGTTTCCAGTTTTCCGAGAGAAGCTTATGTGAATTACAGGGATCTGGATTTGGGGATGAACAAGAATAACGGGAATGATACGTTAATGGAGGCCAGCGCGTGGGGAAACAAGTATTTCAAGAGCAATTTCAACAGGTTGGTGGAGGTGAAGAGTAAGGTTGACCCGAAGAACTTTTTCCGGCATGAACAGAGTATTCCGACGCTTACGTCACTGGTACAGTGACCTAAAAGGGGTCAACGACTTTCAATATTTTCTTATAAGGAGTATATTCTTATTTCTACGTAGTAATATTATTATTGTTCACTGTCTTCGTTCTCTTTTGTGATCTTTAAATAAACATGCAATGACAAAAATATGTTCCCTCCATTTGTTCACTTTTGATAACTTGCTCTGTTTTTCTCCATTGTTGCTTCGGTTATTCTCTCAAATATATAGATGTCCTTACCTTTTTGTTTGTATGTTTTGATTTATTTTTTTCTTTTTATCATTTAATTTCTAGCTTTTTGCAACTAATATTGATTGTATAAGTTTAGAAACTTTACATGAAAACTGAGTGAGTATGAGTAAGATGTAATTTTTGACATTTGGAGATAAAACTAATTTTTTAGTACATAAGTATATAGTTAATTCAAGTTTGGATGTAGATGATTTTCAATAAAACATACGGAGTAACTTTTAACTCATTGTGAGAGGTAAGAGTCATACTATATCAAATTAAATGCTTAAGGGATACATACGCGAAAATTTTCAGCTATATCAGCTGACTACGGTGGCTCTCCCTTGACTCCGCCCTTGAATGCAATTAGGGTATGATCTATAAAAATGAGTTTTTGTTATACATAAATATGTATTAGGTTAAAACAATTGTACACCAACTATTTTGTACCAGGTTAAAAAAATTATACACTAATTATTTTGTACTTCATTTATGTCATATCAATTCACAATTCATCAAATATCCATGCACATTTCTGGAAAACATTATACTCCCTCTGTATCACTTTTGTTAGGTTGTCCTGTTTGCCTTTTCACGTAATTTAAGATAATTACATGAAATTGCCTACCAACGGATAATTTAAGAACTCAAAATTTACACGAAATCTCAGAAAAATAAAAGGCGTTGCTGCATGAGGGCTAGGTCTCAGTACAAAGATTTCCCCTGGGTTTAACTTGTTTCTTCATTTTCTTTTATTTTTCTTTCATTGTACTGCATTCTTTTCTATTTCCTCTCTTGCATTGTACTGTTTAGTTTTATTAATAAAATACATTTTATGTTAAGAAAAAAGATAATTATTGTAGACTTTATGAAAAGTAAAAAGTTTTTGACTTTTTGGTACTGTAGCGTTACTGTGACAGTTCTGTAGCTGCTATTTGGGGTGAGTAGCTTTCCAAAAAAGGATATGAGACCATTAATTTCATACGTCCAAAAAGGAAATTGAGAATGATAGGGATGGAATACATACACATTTGAATATAATGTAAAATTATTTCAATAATTCATACATGTAATACTGTCTCCATATTGTAATGTTTGCTACAAAAGGGTATATTAAAATTAGAAAAACATGAGTAACTGATATTTTAAAACAGATAACTTACCAAAAGGAAAAACGCATCTAAAAGGGGATGTTTAGCCAAATAAAGAAGAGAATATAATTACCCGAAATAGGACTAAAAAGGTTTGAAAATTTCAAAATAGGAATGTCATGTTTTTATTCTGAAATTAGAACTAATTACTGCCATGTTTTGGTAGTACCAAACTTCAAACATGACATTATTTTCCAAACTTGGCAGTAATTACTCCTATTTTGAGAATAAAAAACACGACAGTCCTATTTTGGATTTTTCAAACTGTTTTAGTCCTATTTCGGGAATTTTCCCAATGTAGAATACAAAGACAATACATATTTATTGAATACTAACCTAATATAATTACGATTATTAAGAAATTAAGAGTGTTACAAAGAAAATATCCTGTGCTTTATAATCATATTAACTTTACTGTATTTATTTATAATGTTAGATCAAGAGACATTTTTTAGAAACACATGTGTACCCACAATTAATGTATACTCGTATGAAGTGTTTGTTATGTTCATTTTTAATATCAACTTATGCACATTTTTAAACATTATACTCATTTAAGGTATATCGTAAAACGAGACAAATATTCACTTTGTAATTTTTTTGTTAGTAGGCATTCATTATGAGAGAATTTAAAAAATTGCAGTACTAGTGGAAGAAAAGGAAAGATTAATGTAGTCAAATAATCATCTCATTTGATTTATTAGAACTTACAACAGTCAATTTCATATTGATGGAGCATATTCTAATATACCCAGAGGTACCAGACATTCAAGTGCAAAGAATTCACCGGAAACGGCCAAGTCAATGTTTTCGCCGAGGCTGACCTCGACCCACCTGAGGTCGGTCTGAACAATCGACTCCCATATCACCGAGATAAGACCAAACCTGAGACCAACCTCGAGCACACTAAGGTTGGTGCCAGATCTGACATCGCACATGGACACAAAGTCAACCAAAGTTAACGGAATGAAGGAACCACCACTACCAGACAAATAAAGACCAGGATCAACTCCTCCAGAATAAGCTTATCATACCCGAGCTCTGATCATGCTTACGGAGCTCGGGATCTCTCTAACAAGTTGTGGATTAGACATTTCACCAATTGTGTCACACAGACCTATGACCACGTCATCGGCGCTGTACATGAGCCACGCCACTATGGCGATTACCACAGGGAATACTCGTGATTACACACATGTGGCACGCGTGTGGGTTCTGGTACACAAAGGACGAATTTTGTTACATATAGTACCAATTAGTCATTTGTTCAAGACTTCTATCCAATCACACCTTTACACATGTCACCACACGATTAGACTAGTACATGATTTTGGTTAGACGTGTGGGACATGTGTCCTCACCATATTGTTTTGCTTGTTGGCAAAACATTTTCCCCTTAGTATAAATATCACCTTCCAACATGTTGAAAGTGATTTGGTTCAAGTTTATTGTTACCAAATTTTCTACTCATTTTTACTTAGCACTTTTCGGGCTCTGCATTCCTCCGGATTCTGGCTAACCCCAAATCGGTGATCTATCACATATATAAATAAAGAATTATAAATATAAATAAAAGAAGATATGAAGTAGAAGAATAGAGATATGATGGCCTATTGAAGTACCAACCTCGCACAAAATCTCATAAAAGTCGAACAAAATCTAAAATTCGGCTATGAAAGAGTATTAGAATTTGGCTGAAGGTCGAACAAACCCTTAAACTTGCTTTCTCTCAATTTGTATAATATACAATTTCTCTCTACATAAATACGGATGTGAATTATGGTCATCGTGCAAATAAATCATAATTTGAAGCAAAATTAAAATAACATTTGATGTGATTGGGAATAAATGAAACAAAACGCTACCCTGTAACATTTTGAAGAAAATACTTCGTACATTAGAATAGAATAAAGAACTAATTTAAGAATACACGTACGTAGTACTTGATAAAACTTAAAATTTAAGAAAATATTTTTTGAAACAAGATTACTTAATTATAAGTTATAACACACTATTAAAAAGAATGATGTGCCTAAAATCTAAGTTAGTCACCAAGGAAAACTGTCTGCGAACAAATAACATGAACGCACAACTCAAAATTTTTAAGAAATCTCAAAAGAGCAAAATGCGCCATAGCATAAGGAGTTGGGGACTGGATCTCAATTCGGAGATTTCCCTTAGATCTAATTTTTATCTTTACATTTTCTTCTCTTTTCTGTACTTTTTACTTTTCAAGTGTTTATGTTTACATTGTACTATTTACTTTTATGTATAAAATCTTCCTTTCTTAAAAAAAATACTGTAGCATAGAAATCGAGCATTGCACATTGTTGGGATAATGGGCCGGGTCCAAGATTATCGCCCCGTTACACCCGAGCTTTGGCCCGACCAAGCTCAGAACAGTCCAGCTAGCGGATATTGGTCCGGGATTATTTAATTACTTATCGAGCTGCTTGACCCATCAACATCAGTATTAGTTGATAAATCAGGCCAAACCCATGTAACACTTAATTGGTGGGCATGTTGTATACACCTATAAATAGACCACCAATCCCTTGTATTCCCCTACGTTATTTTCACTATACTGAATTGCTGCCAGTTTCTCTACCCAGTGTATTTTGTACCAACACATCTCCAAATACCAATCACAAAAAATCACAAAAAGTAATTCATTTTCTTCTCCGTATATTTGTAGTTGTGTAAAAATACATGCTAAATGAATAAGCTACTAGAGTGAAAGGCTTCCCAGTTCTCAATGTTCCAAAATTTATTAGATGTTTTATTGATGTATATGAATTGTTGTTCAAACTCAACATAACCATAGGAGTACATAAATTGAGGAACGAACTTACGAACCAATAGAGTACACAATCGTCCGGAAATCCGGAATAGTCTTGAGACGATTAGAATAGGTAGTAGAACTATTTGACCCCGCCTAGATTAGAATAGGTGCATGGTAGAACTATTTGACCTGCCTAGTGACACATATCGACATTTTGAGATCGTATTGCCACATAGCATTATCAACCTCAAAACGCATCATCAAATCAGCCCAAAATCCATGAATTACATCAACATAAGCAGCATTGCAATGGAGTACAATGTCAATATATGCAGATTTATTCATCCGAATTCTAAGATCCAACACTTCCCTTTGGACTTTAGTTAGTTTTTTTTTTGGACTTTAGTTAGATATTTTATGTATATTGGTTATCTTTAGTGGATTAGTTGATAGTTCAAAGGCGCAATATTTAGCAAGAAGAGAAAAAAGACAATAGTGGGTCGAATTCCTATCAAGCACTTAAAGAACACTTAAAGAACACCCTACTGGACCGAGCGCTTAGTCTAAGCTGTTACTACAGAAGATTAGAGCAGTAAGGCTAAGAGTACAAGTTGTCAACCCCTAAAAAAATGCTACGTATTACTCCATCCGTCCCCTAAGAAGTTCCCGCTTTCTTTTTTTAGCAGTCCCAAAAAGAAGTTCTCCTTTTCTTAAATGGAAAGTTATTTACATCAAAACCGTGCCAAACAGTGTAAAAACAGTAAAATTTACCCCCTGGTAAGTTTATTTCCTTCATATATGTGTACAAAGCGGGAATATCTTTACGGGACGGGGGAGTACTATTTATACTTCATGGGGTAGCTGGTTGTGTTGATGTGAAGGATTATTAGTGACTACACTTCCAACTACCAAATCTTGCATATCTGGTATATTTAATGTGTTTCTCACCAATTTCCTTACTTTCCCGCCAACTGAAACTAAGCCTTCTGGGTGAGGCCTCAATGTGTGCAAATGTAGCAGCCTAAGGGAGTTACGCCGGGTGGCGCGTGATGCCCGGACTCTGCCGAGCGACCTTTGTTCCTT